GCCAAGCTTAAAATATGTAAAGAGGCAGTTTTAGGCTGGGCCTAACTGGAAAAATGTGAACCTTTTATGGCACTTGTCTTTTTTTTTTTTTTTTTTGAGATGGAGTCTGATTCTGATACCCAGACTAGAGTGCAGTGGCATGATCTTGGCTCACTGTAGCCTCTGCATCCCGGGTTCAAGCGATTCTCCTGCCTCAGCCTCCCAAGTACCTGGGACTACAGGCACCTGTCATCACGCCTGGCTAATTTTTTGTATTTTTAGTAGAGTTGTGGTTTCACCATGTTGGCCAGGTAGGTCTCGAACTCCTGACCTCAGTGATCTGCCCATCTCCGCCTCCCAAAATGCTGGGATAACAGGTGTGAGCCACCGCCTCTGGCCAGCATTTAATTAATTCTCTTAGTGTCTCACACTGCTCTCTCCTCTCTCCCATGCTCTCATCTAGGGAGGATTCTGGAAGGATGGTAGGGGCAGCCTGGTAGGGTTTGAATTTCCAGGATCTGCCCATAAAAACAAACAAGGCACTTAGGATAGCAGAACCAAAGACACTCAGACAACATCTCTCAGAGAGCCAAGTGGGCGGTAAGGAACCCCACACGCCCCGAATACAAGCACACAGGATGGGACCTCTTGCAGCCCCAGGACCAATGTGGCATGAGCACTTGTGTGGAAGGGAAGGGAAGAAGGAGGAGGGGAAGGGAGGGGAGGGGAGCCAACTGCCCTGGGACGTGGCTCCCCATCCTCCAGGTGCCACCGTGGGAGGTGGGTCGGGCCAAACAGGCATTGTGGAGGCGTCTGCAACATTCCTCTTCGAGAGGCCCTGTAGTGATTAGCCTGAAGGTGTGGGAGAAACCTGGCCTATACACTCTCCTGACCAAGGAATCCAACTCCCTTCTAGAACAGATCCACAGGGAGGCAAACACTGGAAGGAGAATCCAATTATAGCCAGACAGGAACCATAAGAACAGAGAGGAGAAGGTACAGATAAAAGCAGAAGATCACAGCTGTTAATGCGTTGTGTATTTCAAAATTCTTAAAAGAATAGATTTTTAACGTCCTCATCACAACAAAAATATGTTGGTGAGGTGATAGGTATGTTAATTGGCTTGACTGTATCTTTCTACAGTGTAGACGTAGATGAAAGCACCACATTGTACCCCATCAATACACACAATTATTATTTGTCAATTAAAAATGAAAGGAGAGGAGGCAGATTGGAGAGAGAACAGGCCATTTTTAACCACTTTGCAAAAACAACAGATAGATAAGCTATGCTGACTCCCAGCTCCTGCCAACATGTTCAGGGAAACTCTTGTTACTAAAATACTTATAATCATAAAAATAAACAAAAAAAGAGTCATGGAAAGTTATCATCAGAAAACAGACCATAGGCGCGAAAGAAGTCCCTTGAGATGATGAAAATGTGACAGAGGCCCACAAAACGGAGAGAAACTAAGCTTGTGTGTGTTTTTTTTCTTTTTTGCCTGAGCTGGAGTGCAGTGGCGCTATCTCGGCTCACTGCAACCTCTGCCTCCCCGATTCAAATGATACTCCTGCCTCCGCTTCCTGAATAGCTGGGATTACAGGTGCCCACCACCATGCCCAGATAATTTTTTGTATTTTTAGTAGAGATAGGGTTTCACCATGTTGACCAAGCTGGTCTGGAACTCCTGACCTCGTGATTCACCTGCCTCAGCCTCCCAAAGTGCTGGGATTACAGGCGTGAGCCACCGCGCCCGGCCTGAGGTTGTGTTTTTTTTGTGTTTTTTTTTTTTTGAGACGGAGTCTTGCTCTGCCGCCCAGGCCGCAGTGCAGCGGCGCAATCTCGGCTCACTGCAAGCTCCGCCTCCCGGGTTCCCGCCATTCTCCTGCCTCAGCCTCCCGAGTAGCTGGGACTACACGCGCCCGCCACTACGCCTGGCTAGTTTTTTGTATTTTTAGTAGAGACGCGGTTTCACCGTGTTAGCCAGAATGGTCTGGATCTCCTGACCTCGTGATCTGCCCGCCTCGGCCCCACAAAGTGCTGGGATTACAGGCGTGAGCCACCGCGCCCGGCAGGTTGTGTTTTTTTTAAAAGAGAGTCCTGTCTTCTGGAGCTGCAAACGCCGGTGTTTAGAGATGAAGATGTGTCCGCACTTGGTTCCTGCCGGTGGGTTTGTGGTCTCGTTCACTTCAAGAATGAAGCTGCGACCTTGGTGGTGAGTGTTATAGCTCTTAAAGATGGCACAGACCCAAAGAGTGAGTGGCAGTAAGGTTTATTGTGAAGAGCGAAAAGACAGCTTTCACAGCACGGAAGGGGATCCTAGCAAGTTGCAACTGCTAGCTGGGGTGGCCAGCTTTTATTCCTCTATTGTCCCCTCCCATGTTCCATTTCTGTTCTGTCAAGAGTGCCCTTTTTCCAATCCTCCCCATGATTGGCTACTTTTAGAATCCTGCTGATTGGTGCATTTTACAGAGCACTGATTGGTGCATTTTATGGAGTGTTGATTGGTGCATTTTACAGAGCACTGATTGGTGTGTTTTACAGAGTGTTGATTACAGAGTGTTGATTGGTGCATTTTACAGAGCACTGATTGGTGCGTTTTAGAATACTCTTGGGTAAAGTTTCCAAAGTCCCCACTCGACCCAGGAAGTCCAGCTGGCCTCAACTCTCAAAAGCGCTCGTGTCTGGGAGTTATTTCCAATCTGGGGAAGAAAAAGTGGGTTGAAGTGTAAGAGAAAAAGATTGGTTCGTTCACGGATGATGGGTGAAAACTGATGACGGGTGTGTGGTGTTTGCAGCCTGCTTGGCAAAGTTTAGTTCATGACCTCCTCCTCTTCCTAGGGAGGCCCTCACTCTGTTTCCTTTGTGGGCACCTGTGAATGATGAGCTCTGTCTTCAGCCCTCTCTCCTCTCCTCTTTCTACAGAGGGACATTCTACATTTTCCACGTAGACATTTCTCCTGAGCCTCAGCATGTCATGGAGTCGAAAGCCCACGGGGCGGGGGGGCGTGTGTAGCTCAAGGTGGCAAGGGCTGAGCACACTGACTTCTCCTTAACCGGCTCCTTCTCCTCTCTCCATTTCCATGAAGCACCTCACCATGCACCTCTTACCCAAGCCAGAAACTTGAGCCTTATCCTGGATTTGGCTCTTTCTGAATCTACAAATCTGATTGTCCCTCCAGCCTGCCTGATGTACCTCACAGGTCCCATGTCTCTCTCCCACCTTCTTGCCACTTATCCTCTGGACATACAATGGACATACACCAAGCATCTTGCTTCACTCCACACCGTAGTTACAGTGACTTTCTCAGGTCAAAAGCTGGCCACTCTCGCACGTATTCTGTGGTCGCTCAGCACCAGGAGCATATCAACCAGGCTCGTCCCAGGGCACACGGAATTGACTTTCCCAATCTCCTGCCCACCTGCTTGGCCTCATCTTTACTACTCCTGCCCTCCTCTTTACTTCTCAGCAGAATGGAAGTCTGATTTGAAGATCGCGATTTCATTCCTATGTTACTTTGTACATGCATTCCCCTTTCTGAAAGAACTTCCCTGTTTGATAGCAAAAGCCAAGACTTTTTCTCTTTGTTTTCTCAGCATCGAGCAGTGTTTAATGCATATATGACACTTTGCTAACTATTTGGAAAAGATAAATAGGAACGCTTCAGAAAACATCATGTTTATTTAGACATATGTCTTTGTTGTCTTGCCTCGCCAATCAGTTAGCAACTACAGATGGTTACAGTGGTTCAATTTAGGATTTTTTAACTTATGATGGTGCAAAAGCAATATGCATTTAGTAAAATAGTACTTCAAAGTTTTAATTTCCATCTTTTCTGGGGCTAGTGACATGTAGAACAATACTCAGAATGCTGCTGGGCAGGGCAGTGAGCCAGAGCTCCCAGTCAGCTATCTGATCATGAGGTCAAATAGATGATAATGTACAGGGTGCTATGATCCCAGATGATGTTACCCGACTGTAGGCTACTGTACTTGTTCTGAGCATGTTTAAGGTGGGCTAGGCTAAGCTGTGATGTTCTGTAGGTTAGTTGTGTTAAATGCATTTTTGACTTGGACGGTTTCAACTTAACCATGGGTTTATCGTGATGTAACCCCATTGTGTAAGTCAGGGTGCATCTGTACTTTGAAAGTAACATTCTTCATCGTGCACATAAAAACTCATTCCACTTCCAGTCTCTTTATTTCCTTAGATGACTGTGTCATTTGGAAATGAGGACAAAGTAGTAGTCATCTATGAGACACACTGTTGGAAGTTTCTAATTTTCTTATGAGAGTATCTATCAGTTAAAAAGCTGAAATGGTATAGCTTTTTTTTTTTTTTTTTGAGACGGAGTCTTGCTCTGTCGCCCAGGCTGGATTGCAGTGGAGCGATCTCGGCTCATTGCAAACTCCGCCTCCCGGATTCACTCCATTCTCCTGCCTCAGGCACCCGAGTAGCTGGACTACAGGCACCCACCACCACGCCTGGCTAACTTTTTGTATTTTCGGTAGAGACGGGGTTTCACTGTGTTAGCCAGGATGGTCTCGATCTCCTGACCTCATGATCCGCCTGCCTCTGCCTCCCAAAGTGCCGGGATTACAGGCGTGAGCCACTGCACCCGGCCGGTATAGCATTTTTTATGGGCAATGTATGAGAAACTGCTATAATTGGCTCTAGATTTATAGCAAATAAGACAATAAATATAGCAAACTGGATTGGTTCTTAAGGCAGCAGCTATTGTAAAACAAAAAAATAAGACTGATATTTTTAATCTCAAAATGACTATGTTGTAAACTCTGTTTAGAGATTATCTATTATCAGACTGTAAAAACTCAAACAATCAGAGGAATTTCTCTTAGATTTTCAAAGGTGATTGGGAGATGGACTCAGATGGCACCGTGTGGCAAGAATTCATAAGACTACACACGCTTTTTGTAAATTGACTTTTAAATAGTAGGTTTGACAGAGGCACAAGTGTATGGGCAGATTCGAATTCAGGTAAAGAAAGAATGTGAAAGTATCAGTGTAAACTGTAAACTAAGTTATCAACACAGTGTAAGTTTTTTATTCTGCACATAAACATGATGTACACGATTTTAAGCTAGGTTGAATTTATGAAAACTCCCAGACAGCATGAGAAATAAGAAGGAAGCAAGAGAGCAACACTGCCCCTTGCTTGCTGCCCTGTGGGTCATCTCTCGCTGACATCCAAGGTCAAAGCCCCCAGCCGAGGGGCACCGCTGGCAGCCTCTGGGCTGGCTGACAGAAAAATACACTACCACTTTTCATCTTGGTGAGTGGTAAACTGGAGACCTAGGGTCAAAACTGCAGCTAAAGAGATCTGCTGACAAAAAGGCGGAGTGGAAATTATCTAGATGAATCCAACCAGCTGTTAGAAAAACAGAGCAACCCTGCTCTGAAGGTGACAGCAGAGGCCAGGCAGACGTCTGTCTCTTTCCTCGGACTGGGGCCAGCTTTAAATGCAGCCAAACTAATCCATGGTACCATGGTGAACCAGCCAGTCCATGGTGCCTCTGGTTATCTCTAGGATCATCTCGTACGTTGGTAGCTGGGGAGATTGTGGCACCCCATAAAAACCAGGCAGCCTGCTCTCTTACACGGGTGCATAGAGGATGCTGCTGCTCAGAGGCTTTCGGGAGTGGTCCTTCCAGAACCCTCTGAAGGTCTATACTCCAGGCACCCGAGGTTCCCCACCAAGAGCTTTGTTTGCTCTGTTTCATGCTTGTAACATGCCAGAAGTGCAGGGCAGGTGACACCGCTAGGAGCAGCCACTAAAGCAGCTACCAAGAGCCAGCATGCCCAGCATCCTTGCCTTCAGGAGAGGCAGCCGTGGGGTGTGTCCACACTGTCCAGGAGGCCCAGCGGGTTGGGGCCCCAGCTGCCTACAGAGGAAACCACTTATTAGCGCGCCTTATATCCTCTCCTCCCCTCCCTTCTCCTCCCCTCCCCTCACTTCTCCCCTCTCCCCCTTCCCTCCCCTCTCCTCCCCTTCTCCTTTCTCTCTCCTCCCCTCTCCTCCCCTTCTCTTCTCCTTGTTTAAAGACTTTCACTCACAAATCCACAAATCAGAAAAAATTCTTCGTTGGGCCATACGTCCATCTTTTTTCTTTAAAATACTGTATCTGCAATATTAAGCTTAATTACTCCTATCCGGGTTATACTTAAAGCTAAATTCTGGTAATCTTAGTGCCCAACGCCTCCCCTCCCCCACCACCCCCTCAGGCAACTGCTGTTTTGCCAGAAGCTCTTTCGCGGCTTCCTCAGCCCCTGCGACATTACCTTTTATGCTTGTGGATTCTAATGTCTACCGAGCAATCCTCACTTAGACTCAAGGAAGAAAACTGGGTGAAAGCCCCAATCCCGCTGCAAGGCCCACAGCTCACAAGTGATGACGGGGCCGGAAGGAAGCCACGCTGAGTGGAGGATGCTGCCGTGAGCCTGCCCACCGCGTCCTGGTTTGGTCGCTAGACTTACATTTCCCTAATCCTGTCAGAAGTTCTCTCCAGGGAGGAGATGTTTTGGATATTCACCTCATTTTGACGGTGAGCGGCTTAAAGCAGTTTGGAAGCTGCTGTCAGTACCGAAGCTCTTCAGATCTTCACACCGATTTATGTAGAAAGAACTACTAGGGAAATTCCTAATCTGTTTCTCATCTTTATTGCAGCTTAAACTCAAATCCTTGAGCCTGTGAAACGTGTCCTTTTCCTCTGTAGACGCTTCATTTTCACAAGCCTGCATAAAAACTGCTTAGAAGCATTCCTTTCCACCTGTTACCTTCCTTCACTTGTGGAGTTGCTTCATTCTTAGTAGGGTTTCTTCAATTACCTTCTGCGGAACAGCACCGGGTCCAGTCCCTGGGGATCGGCAACATGCAAACCCACAGCCAGCACCGCAGTGGAGCCTTCTGTTCCTTCCCATCCCTGATGAGATGAGAAACTGGAGTGGCAGATTTGCTGGCAATCAATCGCAGGGTTGCTTTTTAGCCACCCCGTCTATCAATCTGCCTTTTCCCTCAGCATGTGTGCAGTAATTTACCCAGCTCTCCTTCACTACAGTTTGTTTGGAGTGTGTGCGTGTGTGGGAGAGAGACAGAGAGGCAGAAAGATAGAGACAGAGAGAGCTACAGAGAGACACTGAGATACAGAGACAGATCAGAGATAGAGAGATAGAGAGACAGGGAGATACAGAGACACAGAAAGAGACAGAGAGACAGAGAGATACAGAGACAGAGATCAGAGAGACAGAGACAGAGACAGAAATCAGAGACAGAGACTGAGAGAGACAGAGAGATAGACACTCCCCCCTCCCCACACATACTTCTTCAATCAGTTTCATTTGCATGGGTAAGTTTTATACTTAGGGGAAATCTCATTTCTTTCGGATAACCCTGGGCTTTTCAAGTCCCTAGTCTATATTGCTTCTGTGAGGATTCATTTATCTCTTTTTCCGTAACCTGAATTTTGACCTTCTTGTCCGTTTTCTCCTCCCAGTGCTTTTCTCCTAACCTGGGAATGAAGTTTTAAAGCTGAGGGTCTAGGTGGACCTTAGGGGAGTCGGGCACGGCACCGCCTCCATCCCACGCGTGGCAGGGAGACCCCGCTCTCTCCGTGGGCCCTAGAGGTGCTGCGCTGCTCGTGGGGGGCAGGAGGAAGTGGGCCTCCCTGCTATTGCCTGGGATGTGTCCCGAGGTGCCTCCCTTTGGACATCTGCGGGTGTTTTTGCTGATGCGTGTTTCTGAAGCTCAGGCCAAGGCGGTGCCTATCCGTGATTGAGCTTGGGAAGCACTCAGGACATATCTGGCATTTTTCTGGCTCATAACCTCATAACCAAACAAATCACAGCTCCCCTCCACCAAAAAAAAAAAAAAGAAAAAGAAAAAAGAAAAGAAACAAATGCTATTACCTTGGCTTATATGTATGGAGTAAATGGACCAACGTGGGGTCAGCTATCTGCCTCTGTGAGTTCATTCAAGTGGGGAGAACCCTCCTAACCGCTCGTGAGTCTTGAACAGATGCCTGCGCCCGGCACATTCTCCCACATGGAAAACGTTCAATTTCACTCGGATTCAGGCTGCTTCCGGCGCTAGTTTCCCAGCTGGGGGAAGTGAGCGGATGCTGCCATCTAGAGTCAGGATGAGGTAAAGCCACCAAACTCCTTGGGTTAGCGTTGAGTTTTCTGTTTCCTCTCGCTTTTGAATTCTCTCTCATTATTTGTTTTATACTCCTACATCGCATTGACAATACCTGGAGGAAAGAATTCCAGGGAATGATTCTGTCCTTAGCTGTCTGATGGGATGCTACTTATTCACATATCTGTAGACGCCCCATGTGTGCCTTGCACAGTGCCAAAACCTCTGAATTCACGTAGACAATACATATTCTTGTCAAATAATCTATGCCCTAAGGTCACTTGTTAAATCAGTTATTTAAATAAATGAGTTTATCCGTGAAACAAATTTTAAAAAGGGTAATAGCTGGATCATTGGTTGCTTGCATTTAAAATGCTTACATATTTGACAAATTCCAAATTCCAAAGAGGTGGTGCCTGTTTACCTCTAATAGTGCATTAGGGCACCTTTCCCTCCAGCACTGCAAACATTGTGTATGATCAAGCTGGTAAAACAATTTTTACTAATTTTTACTTGGATAGGTGAAAAGGATCTCTTATAATAAATAGTTGGTGAATTTTAAAATGTGAGGTTGAAATTGCTAAGAACTTATTTAAAGTCATTTATTTATGTATTTATCTATTTAGGATTGTGTCCTATCATGTCATTGCTTATTTTATTTTATTTCTATTAGGTTTTTGTTTTATTTTTTGCTATGGATTTGATAATTTTTTAATGTCATAAGGAAATCAGGTTTTCATTAGATTCCTTGTAAATACCGTTTCTCCAGTTTTCACTTGACTTTTACATTTGTTTATTTTTAGAAAATAATTTTGTCTTGAAGACATTTTGAAATTCTTTGGTTATGTCCACACATCTTCTCCCTTATGGCTTTTGGCCTTAGGAGTACTGTTGATCTAGATAAAGAGATAAACAGAGACCTGGCGCCTAGCTAGTGATAAATAATTTACTGAATGATGAGTAGGTGAGACTACAGTGTACCACCGATGCCCAGTGGATCTGGCTAAATTTTTAACAGGACATATCTGCCTGCAGAGCAGAGACTAGGCAAAAGATGGGAAGAGCAGAAGTGACTTTGGAAGAGTTGGGATATTTTTTATTAATAAAATAATGTTGGGCACCATGTCCCTCAGAATCCTGAGGCTTATGGGCAGTCAGGGGAACTAGCATATCTTCACCTCTGTGCCTCACTTGTCAAATCTTTGCTTGCTCCTGCAATCTCACAAAATCTGGCATCCTCTGAGCCTTGTTAGTGCCCATTCCTCTGTTGTCTTTATGTCTTCTTCCCTAGGACTTGTCCTTAAAGCAATTTGCCTATGTATTTACCTCCAACTTGGAGATCCTTTTGCCCTGATGCTTGTGGAACCACATGCCATTTGAGAAGAGGGCTTTTCTTTGTATTTGCCTAACCATGAAGTCTCTTTGGCTGTGTATGGACACAGCTGTCTTTCTCCTCAATGTGAGTTTAGGTTCAGAGGACTAAGACCTCTCACCAGACCTTTTTGATGTCTGGTCAAAAACTGGGTTATGTAGTGGTGTATATAGTTAGAGATCAGAAGGGATCTTTGAATACAGGGTTTTATGCCCCTAAATTTCTTTACCCTAAAGTGAGGCAGGGCCCTTGTGAATGGATTAATGCCATTATTCCTGGAGTGGGTTCCTGATAAAGGGACGAGGTTTGGCCCTCTTCTTTCCCTCTCTCACCCTCACACCTCTGCCACGGGATGATGCAGCACTAAGGTTCTTGTCAGATACCAACACATGCTCTTGGACTTTCCAGACTCCAGAAACATGAGTTTCTGTTCATTCTAAATTACCCAGTCTGTAGTTCTATTCTATAGTAGTGTAAAACAAACTAGGACACCACTACATATAGAAATGCTTTTTATATCAGGACTGATGTCATTTGAATAAACACACAGGCTATACACTGCACAGCTCTGGAGGCCATCATTTATACAGGCTGGAATGTGGGTTGATATCCCTGGGATTAAACCCCAGGTGGCCTAGAAAATCTAAAAATTTGAAGCAAAATCTTCATAAATAATAGTTACCTGTACTCTCTATGGTGCATTGACATTATCCTATGTTATCCTGCCCCATCCTGTCCTATCTTAACTCTGTCAGTCCATTTTACATTGCTATAAAGGAATATATGAGACTGATTAATTTATAAAGGAAAGAGGTTTATTTGGTTTACAGTTCTGCAGACTGTACAAGAAGCATGGTGCCAGCATCTACTTGGCTTTTGGGGAGGCCTCAGGAAACTTTTCCTCATGGCAGAAGGTTAAACAGGAACAAGCATGTCATATGGTGAGAGAGGAAGCAAGAGAAAGAGGAGGAGGTACCAGGCTCCTACAAAAACCAGCTCCCATGTGAACTAATAGAGTGAGAACTCACTCATTACCCTGGGGAGGGCACCAAGCCATTCATGAGGGAGACATCCCCATGACACAAACACCTTCCACCAGGCTTTACTTCCAACATCAGGGATCAGATCACATTTCAACATGAGATTTGGTGGGGACAAATATCCAAACCATATCACTGATGTATGCCATCCTATCCCATTTTCTTCCATTTAAAAATGATGGTCAAGCTGGGCGCAGTGGCTCACACCTGTAATCCCAGAACTTTGGGAGACTGAGACGGGCAGATCACTTGAGGTCAGGAGTTTGAGATCAGCCTGGCCAACATGGCGAAAACCCATCCTACTGAAAATACAAAAACTAGCCTGGTATGGGGGCGTGTGCCTGTAGTCCCAGCTACTCAGGAGGCTGAGGCACGAGAATTGCTTGAACCTGGGAGACGGAGGTTGTAGTGAGCTGAGATTGCACCACTGCACTCCTGCCTGGGTGACAGAGAGTGAGACTTTGTCTGAAAAAAAAAGAGAGAAAGAAGAAAATGATGGTCAAGACCCACTGCATGGGGTCCAATCAGGGAAGCAGAGCCACCATGAGTATTATAGAATATGAGATTGCTTGTAGGGCTTGTTACTTTTACACAGTTGCACAATTCCTATTGTGGTGCCAGGCAAGCTTTGCTTAACTGGAGAAGTAGAGATCTGAAAGATGACAGTGATTCGGAACTACACAGGGGAGAGTGGACAAGTCTGAGAAAAACGGTTGCCTCTGCAGCTATTGAGGTCCTGAAGTGGTTGTTGTGGGCCTGCAGAGCAGGCAGCTGGGAACACACACTGGACATAAGGTGGAGAAGGACAGAGACAGACTGGAACTCATGGAGATAAGCGAGAGGACACCCTGGAGCCTGGTCTATCTCTCATGGAATTTAACTTTGAAGATGTGTTTGAACAGCAGAAAAAGCTGGTTCCTCATCTTGGAACTATATACATGTCCGGCCTGAGGGCACTGA